TTGACTTAATCCAGAGTTTCTATTCCAAAGCCAAGAACCTAATGACTTTAGCTATCACCTTTGACTCCCAAGGGTCTATGTTAGTATGAAGCTGGAATCAGTAGCTACAACCAGGTGTTGGACACACATACTCTGATGTGGGATGCAAGCATCTGAACTGGTGTGTTAGTGCCTAGGCTAAATGCCTGCCCAAGAACGAGTATCCTGACTGACTGGGAAATAATGGATATTCTTTGTAATACTGTGTTAAAATTTGACAGCTGTTAATTTGTTTGAGATTAGTTGCAATGTGAAACTTGAAATCACATCAGTAATTCTTTGGCAATACCAGTGACCTTTTCATACTGTGTTACATTAAAATTCATTGGTCTACCTTAGTATTTGAATAAATTTTTAACCCCACATGGTGTTGTAATACTGTGCATTGATTGGTACTTTGGAGAATATTTTCTTCCAAATGTTGGAAGATTGTCTACTATATTCTAAAAAATCGAATCTTAGTATCAATGCTGCCTTTATTAAACAATCTTCAAGGATTGGAAAACTATCAGTCTTACACTAGCAAAAACAAGTTTTACCAAATTCTAATTTTGTTTGAAAATTCCATATTATTCATAGTCAACAAGAACTGAAGTGTGAATAATCATATTATGTAATTTGTTGCTTGTTTTTCAAGCCAAAGTAGTGTCCCATAGCTGGAAAAATCAGTTCCGATTACAACTCTAACATTGTAATAGTTAGTGTTTTTATTTAGCAATAGCATATATCAGAGATACAGCAGAAGTCCCTTATATATAAAACTTTATATATAAAACTGTCTTTTTCAAAATGGTGTGTGTAATTTCAAATAATACTGTGAATTAATTGTATAATGATGCAGCTGCCTTGATTTGTGTTAAGTTGCAGTGGGTAAAACCACTATTGTTTTGCTGTGTTGGTGCAGATGTGACCAAAATAGAAGGGACAGAAAACACCTTAATATTATATTTTTTTTGCTTAAGGCATCAACTTCCTCAAAAGGCCTTGGGGACCCCAAGCATTCAGTTGATCACACTTAACTGCTAGTGAGGCGGAAAGACCACTGTATTTAAGAGAGATTTTTAATTTGATGTTAGTGTACCATTTTCTATCTCTATCTTACACTACACTTCATTTCTGAGAACCTGTTATCTTTTATGAAATATATTAAAGACCCATCTTGTTTCTTTCTTTTGTATTGTTTGAACTACAATTACTAAATTGTGAAAAACTGTTGTATATAAGTTGTTGGCATTTTTATAAGAATTTTCGCTGTAGCTGATTTGGTTAGTCATAAAACAGAAAACACTCTAGGGATTTTGAAAGAAGCTTAAGAAATCAGCAGAAGGATCAGAGGGTGGGATCTCCAGCTCAGCCTTCAGAAATGACTCTCAGGTCACTGCAGGACTGACTAGCTGGGAGTTACTGCTCCTGCTACCAGCAGTCAGGAAGGCTGCATCTGGAATCCAGAGTTCAAGAACATCCCTCCGTAGCAGCAGCTCAGGGAATAGGAAGCCAAGATTAGGCAACTGCCAGTGAGCTGTGCCTGGGCATTGGAATGCAGAGTCTAGTTGCCACTTCTGCTCTCTCTCTAGAGATCCCTCTAGCTGGAAATTGGATACTGGAATGCTGCTGTGGAACAAGGGACATCTGTTCAGTCATGCTGGAGAAAACGGCCCGAAGCACCAGAATAATCCCTTTGTTTCTGCCTTCCAGATCTCATGTTAGTGCATCCAATTAATGTAACCTCAAGTTTTTTCTGAAGGAACTTTTGTTTTGTTTTTGTTTTGTTTTATGAATCTTTCCAGTGTCTATAGTTGAAGAAGGCACACAGGAGGGTGAGAGAATCGAGAGAGTCAATTAGCTGAGAGGCTTATTTATTGTATCTCTAAACATCTGTATCTCTGACTTTCAAATTATTTCTTCTCTTTTTCCTTATCAGCTTTGCTTATTCAACTTCTGGTCATTTGAATAACCAAAATAGCTCCTACCCTTTTAAAGCTGATAAGTACTCGAATCTAGTACATCTAAATGCTCTAGTACTCGCATCATTTTCGTCTGTTTGAAAAGCTAAACTGGAAAGATACATTCGGTTTATCCCACTCACCTCTGATCTGAGTACACGTGGGTGGTATAGTCAGACTCACAAAAACTTTGGCTTGCTGGCATATGTATGATGTACCATTGTTCCAGTGACTTTCTGTATAACTTGTTCCACATTTTACTTGAATGACTTTTCTTGAACCTTATTACATTTTTAAAAAAAGATTTGTTTATTTATTTGAAAGATTTAGAGAGAGAAGGAGAGGCAGAGAGAAAGAGGTTTACTCCCCAATTGGCTGCAATGGCCGGAGCTGTGCCAATCTGAAGCCAGTGGCTAGGAGCTTCTTCCGGGTCTCCCATGTGGCTGCAGGGGCCCAAGGACTTGGGCCATCCTCCACTGCTTTTCCTGGCCATAGCAGAGAGCTGGATCGGAAGTGGAACAGCTGGGTCTCAAACTGGCCTCATATGGGGTACTGGCACTGCAGGTGGCAACTTTACCTGCTATGCCACAATGCCAGCCCAAATCTTACTATATTGTCATGAGGTTTTATTATAGCAACTTTTGTTAGGCTTTCTATGGTCAACTACTTTTTTTTTTTTTTTTTTTAAGATTTATTTGTTTACTTGAAAGTCAGAGTTACACAGAGAGAGAAGGAGAGGCAGTGAGAGTGGGAGGGAGGGAGGGAGAGGGAGCGGGAGGGAGGGGGAGCTCTTCCATCTGCTGGTTCACTCCCCAGATGGCTGCCATGGCTAGAGCTGTGCCAGTCTGAAACCAGAAGCCAGGATCTTCTTCCGGGTCTCCCATGCGGGTACAGGGGCCCAAGGACTTGGGCCATCTTCTACTGCTTTCCCAGGCCATAGCAGAGAGCTGGATCGGAAGTGGAACAGCCGGGACTCAAACCAGCACCCACGTGGGATGCCGGTACTGCAGGCTGCTGCCTAACCCTCTACGCCAGAGCGCTGGCCCCTGTTTTTTTCTGATATTTGAAGTATTCCCATAAGCTACTATGTGGAGAAAGAAGTGTGTATAGAAGTAAAAGCAGACTTGAAACCATCAATAAACTTTTTTTTCTTCTAAACTATGACATATTCTAGTATCTATATAAAACCCTATAGTCAAATGGCAAAATAGAAGCACTTGATCCTCTCATTTTTGTTTATTTTTCTCATGTAATATTGTTTACAAAAATAGTTTTATAACATTTATTTAAAAAATAACATTTAAAAAGTTTTTTATTTAAGTATTTGATTACCATAATACTTACATATTTTTATGGAGTATAGTATTTCCACATATGCATACAGCGTAACCTATTTAAATTAACCAGTTTAGGGGCTGGCGCTGTGGCGCAGCGGGTTAACACCCTGGCCTGAAGCGCTGGCATCCCATGTGGGCGTTGGCATCCCATGTGGGTGTTGGTTCGAGGCCCGGGTGCCCCTGTTCCAGTACATCTCTGCTGTGGCCTGGGAAAGCAGTGGAGGATGGCCCAAGTCCTTGGACCCCTGCACCCTCATGGGAGGCCCGATGGAGGCTTTTGGCTCCTGGCTTTGGATTGGCACAGCTCCAGCCGTTGTAGCCATCTGGGGAGTGAGCCATCGGATGGAAGACCTCCCTCTCTCTGCCTTTCTTCTCTTTGTGTAACTCTGACTTTCAAATAAATAAATAAATTTAAAAAAATTGGCCAATTTATATTGCCATTTTCTTATTTTAAAAATCCTATAGCCATTTAAAAATTATTTGTAGGGAAGAGAACGAGGCGGGGGGGCAGCGAACCAGCAGGTCAATCCAGGCTTCCTGTGTGGGTGGCAGTGACTCCAATCCTTGAGTCCACTGCCTCCCAGGGTGTGCAGTGGCAGTAATCTAGAATCAGGTGTGGAGCTGGGGGATGAACCTAGTCTCTGATATGGGGTGTGGGTGACCCAACTGGTGTCTTAGCTGCTGAGCCAAACAGTCTCCCTTTATCTGTAAGTGGTGGGAAAGAAAAAAATTTAACACGTCTGAAATGCAGATAGCCAAATGAATATAAAACATGTCCAGGCAGCAAAGGGTCCCAAAGAAGTTTATTAACATATTTTTTCTCTTTCTTATCATATGTTTGTAACCTTGTACCCTTCCCCAGCCTAAATAGAATACTATAGTCTCTGTTTTTGTTTAAATTATAGTGGGAATATATCATTAACACCTTTTGGATTATGTAAAATTGGATTACAAAGTGGTTTTACTGAGGGGTGATAGTAGTGTAGCCTTTCTTCGTAGGAAATAGAATATCTATAGAACCAGAACTGCTTTGTTGGAAGAGGAACAGTTTTCTTCATTTTGTGTGTTTCTTTTTGTAAAACGAGAATCTTGTTTTCACTTAAAATAACTGTGTATTAAGTAGTTAAAATGGCATATAGATGGGTTTAAAGTAGGACATGAAAGATCGTTACACATTTTCTTCTCTATTGCATCAGTCTTAACCCCCATTTACTGTTTGGCATAAATTTCCGAGGACTCAGTTGTTAATTATTATAATTTTAAAGATAATGTCTATTTGGTAGGATGGACAGAATGTAATGTGTATATAGTTGTTAGCTTTGCAAAATCTAAATGTAAATGTATTGCTTCTGTTTTTGTTGATAAACCATTCTCAGTCGTTTCCTTATTAGCTTTAACAGCAGACCTCAGTAAATATTGAGATTCTTTTGCAAAGAAAAATATTTCTGTTCTTCATGCTTTAGGTGTATTTTATAGATAAGAGTATTATTTTATTGTCAAATGTAACCAATTAAAGTGTATTTTTTTGTTGTTGTTAAATAGTCTTTTATGGAAGACCTAGAGAAGTACGGTAGTTCTGACTTTGGCTTGAAAGAGTATATTTTGTATAAATCTCCATGATAAAAATTACCTTTCATTCTGTTTGACTTTTAATTTTGAGGAAGATAGTTTTGCTTTTCAGATGTGATTGATCTTACTGGAGATGATAAAGATGATCTTCAGAGAGCAATTGCCTTGAGTTTGGCGGAATCAAACAGGGCATTCAGGGAGACTGGGATAACTGATGAGGAGCAAGCCATTAGCAGGTAACAACGTAATTTGTATAATAGCAAATGTAAATACTATTTATAGCATAATTGACTTTAATTATTTTTAAGGGGCAATGAGATACACTGTTTTTCTAAACAAACTATTAAGATGCTTCTGTATTTACAGTTTGTATATTTATGTAACCAAAGTTTTTATATTTTAGTTGTGATTATAAATGAAGCTTGGATTTTTAAAAATTTGGAATGGCATAATAGAATATTATTTTAAATGTCTTTTAATATTTAACATTTTCCCCTGACTTTCATGGATATATTCTTCTATTTGGAATAATTTGTAGTTGGAATCAGCAGACTTTTACTGTAAACAGCCAGTAATATTTTTGGCTATGTTGGTTGTAGGTTTCCTGCCATAAATAGTTAAAACTGTTCTTGAAGTAAAACCAGCTACAGCTGATACATAATATAATGAGTATGCTATATTCTAATAAATTTTGATTGACAGAAATAGGCTGCCAGCAGGATTTATTTTATTGACTGTAGTTTACATACCACTGATCTATATATGTGTGGTTGTATCTGTATGTATCTGTATGTGTATTTGTGTGTGTGTTATGAAATGTTTGATAGAATTTTTTGATTTAATAAGCAAAATGTTTTAGTGTAACCCACCTAAGGATTAAATAAATTTAGTTTTATCATGAAACAATACTGGTTTAAACCTTGCCCTGGCACATAGCCCTCCCCCACATTTTTTTTTTTTTTTTTTTTTTTTACTGTATAGAGGTGTTTGGCAGCAGTGTGTTACCACCAGCTTTCTCTTTCTCAGATAATTTCTTTTGGCATAATATCAATGATATATGTCTTCTTAAATAATCTGAGATTACTGTGGGGGTAGGAGTTACCTCAAAATGCTATTTAGCAAGCCACAAAATTTTTCTTCTCACTGATGTTTTTTGTAGTCTTTAAATGTTACTTTTGAGGCTACTTTTTAAGATTTTTTATTGTGTAAATGCTTAATAAATTTATTATACCTCTCTTAGTTGTGGCAGATGTTTAATGCTAATAATTTAGATGAGAACAAAAAATGAACAGCCTATATTTGGACATTTTAGTTTGGCTTTTTGTCTGAAGGATTTGGGATATGTTTTGTCTGTTTTAAAATATTGATTGGAATGAATAACTTTCTTGAATAATTATAAAACTTGACAATAGTTAAACTTTCTGGGGGAAATAGTGTTAAACATAAAATATACAAGTTGGATTTAATAATTAAGGAACATTGTTATCTATTATGTGAAAAAGAAGTTAGAAAATAGAAGGTATTATACTTGATTTAAGTATTTTTAAAAGTAGATGTATATATGAATTTACATTAAGTTAATGGATATAAGAAAGTCTGGAAGCTTAATACTTCTGAGTATTAGAAGTTTTATATCATGTTTTCTAATGAAAACAACTAATTATACAGTAAAATAAATATAATTTTAAAATTGAAAGATAAGACTTTCTAATCTGCTATTAAGTTCAGTGTAGTATACCAGTATATGTTATATATATTTTATGTATAGTTTTTTCAAATTGGAAAAATATCTTATAATGTTCTTCTTTGTTCTTAGTTCTTTAAATTTAATCTTAAATTAGTAAATATTTAATAAATGTTTTTATTCTAGATAACATTACAGAGATTTAGTATAGTTTGATGTGTCATTAAAATACCTTCCAAAAGTAAAAGAGTTGTATTAATTTGCCATTGCAAAATATATTTTTGTGATTGTGGATTTCATAATTTGCAATTAACAAAATAATGTTGTGTATATTTAGTGAGTACATATGTAAATCTCTTTATAGCAGGAAAAGAGGATGTGAGAATTTTAGCTAAACATTTGGCAGAGATATTTTTTATTCTTATGGTCTTTATTAATCTAGAGATTCTAAATTCAAAAGAGAAATGTGTTTTTAAGGAAGAAATTTATGTTATCATACTAAAATGTAAATTTAACTCTTTTTAGTCAGTTCATATGGCAAAATCTTATGTGAAATCTTGGAATTTTTTGACTATTGTTATATTTTAGTAGACATAATTTAATATGCAGTCACACAGTCACACATTAATAATACAATTTATTACACATAATTTTATCCTTTTACAATCTTAAACTTTATTTAGGCACTTATTTATTTTATGGAAGATTTATCAAGTATACTTTAAAAGTATGCATGTTAAATGTGATCTTTTTCAACAGTCAAATTGGAAGTGTTTGTTACAGTTCTTTCGTGGTTATTGTTGCTAGGCACAGGTGAAGTATGAATAGTTGAAACTTGCTAATAAACTATATTATGACTGGTTTGTGTTTATGGCCTATTTTTCCATGAGAATGGCTTACCTCATAAAATGAATTTAAAGTAGCTTAGTGGAAGGTAAGGCTAAGCTGTAATTAAGATAGTTGTAAAAAGTTCACCTCCATCTGTTTCAAGAAATGGTGATCAGGACTGTTTGCTGGAAACAAGAATGTGATTTTTATTGAATATAAAATATTTTAAAATATTCTTAAAAGTAGAAGCTTGCTAAGATAATCAAAACTGAGATCAAGGACTAAAACCAAAGTGAAAGCAGGAGCTCACTGCAAAGCATTTAAAAGTTGCTTCTTCCCTTGTTAGTATTTGCCTTTGTGTATAAACTTGAACTTCACTTTTGATATACTTGATGAATGGGGCAAAAGAAGTCAGAGACCATTGTCAGTATAAGGTAGGGATAGGAGATCATGCCTCTGTTAATTGATACACAGGAGGATGCCATACAATAAAGGTAAATGGTAAACATTTCTTTCCTTCATAGACTTTGGAGTACCATAGAGATAGTTAGAATAGTCATTTTGATAAAACTGTGGGGACTTGCCCCCTGAGAGCTTATATCATGGTTTTACAGCTGAAATTTATGTTACTTTAGTTGTGCAATAAATCTCAAATTGGGAATTTAGTGTTAAATGGTATTAGAATTTTGTTATCTCTGGGTCCTTGCTGAATCAAAAATAGATTCTTAGGAAGATTTTTTTTTTTTTTTTTTTGACAGGCAGAGTTAGACAGTGGGAGAGAGGCAGAGAGAAAGGTCTTCCTTTTCTGCTGGTTCACCCCCCAAAATGGCCTCTATGGCCAGCGCTGCGCCTATCCGCGGCAGGAACCAGGTGCTTCCTCCTGGTCTCCCATGCAGGTGCAGGGCCCAAGCACCTGGGCCATCCTCCACTGCCTTCCCTGGGCCACAGCAGAGAGCTGGACTGGAAGAGGAGCAACCCAGACAGAACCGGCGCCCCAACCGGGACTAGAACCTGGGTGCCGGCGCTGCAGGCAGAGGATTAGCCAAGTGAGCCGTGGCACCGGCCAGGAAGTTATTTTTATCTTAGACCTGAATGAATACCCTGAAATAACCCTTGAGGCTCTACTAGCACTGCTAATCAAAATTAGCAAGCATATATGAGGAAAAACTCACCATGAGAATCAGCAGAAATGACAGGCAGGAAAAAAGGCACCTCTGTGTTCAGATATAATGATTTGTGCCAGAATGCCTTCGCTTTTTAAAGGAAGTGAGAAAAACTAACATGTTTAAAAAGTAAATATATTTTGCAAATGAAAATTAGAGCAACAAGTAAGTGAAAACAAAACAAAACAACAGTCAAAATGCAGCCTTAAATAGCAGATTAGAAACAGTTAAAGAAGGCACCATTAGTATGGGAAATGCATCAGAAGAAATTTAACTATCCTGTAACTCACCTGGCTAAAATGGAAAATATGTAGAAAAATTGAAAGAGATGATTAGAGGTAGTCTAGAGCTATGTTAATTGGTATTCCTTCATTAGTTGACAAAGTAGTATTTTTTTTTTTTAATTTTTTTGACAGGCAGAGTGGACAGTGAGAGAGAGACAGAGAGAAAGGTCTTCCTTTTGCCGTTGGTTCACCCTCCAATGGCCGCCGCGGCTGGCGCGCTACGGCCGGCGCACCGCGCTGATCTGATGGCAGGAGCCAGGAGCCAGGTGCTTTTCCTGGTCTCCCATGGGGTGCAGGGTCCAAGCACCTGGGCCATCCTCCACTGCACTCCCTGGCCACAGCAGAGGGCTGGCCTGGAAGAGGGGCAACCTGGACAGAATCCGGCGCCCCGACCTTAGAACCTTGGTGGTGGCCGGCGCCGCTAGGCGGAGGATTAGCCTAGTGAGCCGCGGCGCCGGCCCAGATTACTCATTTCTACAAGTTGGAATCTAGACATGTGAACTGGAATTAAGGTTTTAAGCAGCCCCCCAGAAAGATTTACCAACCAGAACAACAAACAGTTACTAATGAGGGAAAGAAGTAGTATCTTGTCCAGGAATAGTCAGGGCAGAATTTGGAATTTTACAAATAGGTGCGTATAACTCCTTTTCATCTTGACTAATACTCAGGAAGCAGCTCTGAGGGCGAACTGCATTAGGAAGGTATGTGGATTAGAACTGCCTTGTAGTGTGTCTTGAAATCTGGTATTGTGATGCCTCCAGCTTGTTCTTGTTGTATAAGATTAACAATTTGGGGTCTCCTGTGTTTCCATATGATTTTTGGCATCGTTTTCTCTAGATCTGAGAAGAATGTTATTGGTATTTTGATAGGGATCACATTTAATTTGTAAATTGATTTGTGAAATAATGGACATTTTGATGATATTAATTTTTCCTACCCATGAACATGAAAGATTTTTCCCATTTTTTGGTGTCTTATTCTATTTCTTTTTAAAAATATTTTGTAATTTTCATCATAGGGATCTTTTAAGATAGTTAAATTTTTTTTGTAGCTTTTGTCATTGGAGTTATTTTTAGAATTTCTAGCTCAGCAATGGCATTGTCTGTGTATGCAAAGGCTATTAATTTTGTGCGTTAATTTTATATATTTTACCAACCTCTTTTCTGAGTTCCAGTAGTCTCTTAGTGGAGTCTTTTGATTTCCCTATATTTAAAATCATGTCCTCTGCAAATAGGGGTTGTTTGACTTCCTCCTTTCCAGTTTGTATCCCTTTGATT